TTTGATATTATTTCGATTTTGAACTAAATATATTTAAATTAAACCGATTCACACTGAGATATAGTTTTTCAACAACCGATCCATTGCAGGTTTCTTATCTGCTGCTTCAGTCATTTGTTGGTTCTTTTATCAGCTGCCATCTTTTCACTTCTTTTCACTGAGTAAACTTTTTTTTACCGTACAGAAATAAACATTTACTACACTTTATTCTGTTCACTTTGTTGTGTACAAATCGTTTGCAATTTTCATACAAGCAGCAATAACTTTGAACCTTTCAACGCTGATAACAAATTATATTGTCGAAATAATGTTTTTTTCCAATTTCAGTCTCGTTGTTTTTCACTTTTCCCGCTTACAGTACAAAATGTGGTACAGATGACTTAACTCTTTTATCGGCTGCTATATTTTCACTTCTCCATACACATTGAGAGTCGTTGTCTAGTATCTTTTTTTTAATGTGTCGTGTCTTTTCAGTATGTGGGCGATCTGCACAATTTCCTGTCCTTCATACCTTTTAGTAAAGTTTTGTCTCTTCTCTCTCTCTCTCTCTCTCTCTCTCTCTTTCTCTCTTTCTCTCTCTCTCTCTTTCTCTCTCTCTCTTTCTCTCTCTCTCTCTTTCTCTCTTTCGCTCTCTCTTTCTCTCTCTCTTTCTCTCTCTCTCTCTTTCCCTCTCTCTCTTTCTCTCTCTTTCTTTCTTTCTCTCTCTCTCTCTCTCTCTCTCTCTGTCTCACTCTCTCTCTCCTATCCCCAGTTCTGCCAACCATTTACACAAGTTCGTTAGGTATGTTATATTTTGTTTTCCTCTTCTCTTCTTGACTGCAACGTGTCCTGTGAGTGTCAATTTTTCCAAGCCGTCATTTCTTATTATGTGCCCTAGACATTATAATTGTCTCTTTCTGATTCTAAGTATGTGTCCTTTTTGTTTTCATTTTCTCTAAAACTTACTCGTTACTTACATGTCCAGTCCATGGTATTTTCAGCATCCTTCTGTAGAACCATATTTCTGTTGTCTTAAATTTCTTCTTCATCTGTTAGGAGATGGTTCAGTATCCACTCTCGTATTATTACATAACTGTTTAGTACTCTTTTATTTGTTGGTAACGATTTTTTTTTTGTTTCTTAACACTTCGCTTAACTTTTGCAAGACATCTTTCACTATTCCAATGTACCTTCGACATTCGATGTCGCATTTTCCGTCCATTTCCTAGAGATTTATATTTTTTTACTTGCTTCTACAATTCGTAGTTCGTAACTTGGGTTCCATTTGCTGACAATCATATATTCTGTCTTCTTACAATTGATGGTTAGTCCTTTCTTCTCTCTTTCCTTTGGTACCTTCTGAGTCCGTGTATGTTGTCAGTAATGAAATCTGGTAGGACACCTAATTTACTCAGAATCGCCTAAGTGTAACTCTTGGTTTGGTATGCTTTGGTTTGGTATGGTTTGGTTTGGTTTGGTTTGCGGCAAATCAACCTTAATGGATTATTTAATGCCGACAATATTTTTATTCCTGGCAATATTTTTTTTTTTTTTTTGCAAAAATGTATAGCCGGTAATAATTTTTCTTCGAAAATTTTTGCTGATAATAATATTTTTACATTTTTGCGCTTTCATAGTGTTTTGAACCCAGTTTGGGGGTTAACTATTTACCCATAGCTGGGACCCTAACAGGTGCTACCACCCTGGTCAGGGTGGACCTGGGGGAAACCAGCAGTTAAGATTTGGTTCCACGTTCCCCAAAACCTCTTGATCAAAGGCCTTGCTTTTGGATGCAGTTTATCGTCATACCCAGAACGCGAATATAGTTTATCGTCGTACCCAGGACGCGGATGTAGTTTATCGTCATACCCAGGACGCGGATGTAGTTTAACTTCATACCCAGGACGCGAATGTAGTTTGTCGTCATACCCAGGACACGAATGTAGTTTGTCGTCATAACCAGGACGCGGATGTAGTTTATCGTCATACCCAGGACGCGGATGTAGTTTATCGTCATACCCAGGATGGTGTAAATGTTGAAAAAGTCCGGTGAGAAGACCCATCCTTGTCTTACGCTGCCTTAAACAAAATGGTCATTATTCCTTTGGGTTGAGAAAATCGTTAGCAACTTGCATTATTTACGTACAATCAGTAACAGAAATATTTTAAACGGTGATAGGAATTGTAGAGCTTATTTATACTATTTAAATTGTTCCGACAGCTACCATCATCTTTGTTGCCATATACACGACATGTGTCCTTGTCACCGTAGATAAAAGCTTTGGTTGTGTCCAGTGCTTTTGACTCAAAGAGTTGTGAGTTCAATACCTGGCTACTGCAGAGGTGAATAAAAACTTGAAGATTTGAGTTAAAGGTAAAGGTAACCGGAGACACCCGGAAGAAGTATGAGACACAGAATTAAAACAATCTACCCCGGTGGACGAAATAAAGGCTTCAGTTCGAAATTCCAATCACCTGAAGAAGGTCGGGACGTACAACGGCCGAAACGTTGTGACTATGTAACAAAGATGAGGACACCAGTTCGAACAATGTAAATAGTGTAAATAATGCCAATATAATATACAGAATTGCAGGGCTTATTTATCCCTCATATCCTCCTGGTATCAGTTTAAAAATTTGTTCCATATATATTTTAATCGTTTTGCTTAAAGTTCATATTTTTCTTAATTTCAGGTGAAAATTTGGAATTTTTCCAACATATTTCAGTGAAATTTTCACTCCCCAAAATTATAGTTTATGCTTATCCTTTAGATATATGGAAAAGTAATGACGTTACTTTAAACCAGTGTTTCCCAAACGCTACAGCGTGCCTCATTGGTGCGGCAGAAGAGGATAGAAAATGAGGTGGAATGATTGAAAGACATTCATAGATTTAGAAACAGTTTCAAAAATTTCATATGTCGAAAATAAATTTAATTTCAATATGTAAAATATTATTATGGATTACTTGTAATTGCACGCATGAGTCCAAGGATAAATAGTTATAAATAATTATTGACCGATTTTATGATTGTGATATTTTTTCATTATATCAACTATTAAGAATATAATAACGTGTCTGCAGATTGGAGGAGAGAGTTATCAATGATAATGTTCTAACTTCGTAGTTACCTATATATATATATATATATATATATATATATATATATATATGTTGCAATGGATAAATTGTCGTCTAAATTGCGAAAAAATAAAAATAACGCTGACATCAACTTTTAACAGATATATTTGCCAAAATTACACAAAAATATCTTGAAATACTAAAGAGTAAATTAATTCAATAAAATCGCCATTGGCTTCAATTCCGCTCTCCAGGCGACATCTGAATCTCCTGAACTCTTGTTTCAGATGGTGAATGCTGCCATAATCCTTGCCTTCAGTTCGTTTTTGGTCTTAGAAGTTTTATTGCCCAACTGCGCCCCACTCTTAATAGTCAAGGGAGCTGCAGTCTGGGGAGATAGGTGGCCAGAAATAAGGGGTGATGTTGTCGCAGAATTTGTATGACAGCTATGACTGGGTTCCCCTGATTGTGTGGCACGGTGCAAAGTTCTTTTGACAGGCATAGGGTCTTCCAGTTGACACCCTCTTGACCCAGGGCTGCACTACTTTCTCAAGGCACGATATAGACCTCCTCGTTGAGACTATAAGGCCCTGTAGGAAGATGAATGGAGGCATAATGTCGTCATCACTAGTGATCACTCCAAACGCCTTCTTAATCATCTAACTCTTTTCGAATCCTTTGCACTGTCCTCCGATTAACACCCAAACACTCTGAAATGCTTGGAGTATCCGGCGCGAATGCCAAGCAGTACAGTATGCCGTTTCCAAATTTCTGGCGGAGTGAATTGCGTCATGGTGCTCTTTTTCTCCCAGACATGCCCAACTGACCGTACTATACTGTTCAGTCGACAAAATCAAAAACAGACAACGCGCATGCGCGAAATAAAATATATAAAGTAGCGACAATTTACCCATTGTACACCCAGTGTACAACGTTTGACCAACACAAGGTCTGACCAATATTGACGATAAAAAAAAACAAATGAAAACTGCAGATAAAGTTCATTTTCTTCAGAAAGTAATTCATTCCTGTTGTTCACTACTACTAACAAGCAGATTTTTTTTCTCCTGATGATGGCCATACTGGCCGAAACTAGTCGAGATATCTAATTGAAATAATAAAACAAATAATATTAATATACAACCCAGTGTGTCTAGAAATTTTAATTTTTCAATTCCTCAATATTTTTTATTGTTCAGAACATACACACAGACACAAACACACACACATTTATATATATGTGTGTGTGTGCGTGTGTGTGTCTATCTATCTATCTATCTATCTATCTATCTATCTATCTATCTATCTATCTCTCCCTATGTATATTTTCTTTTTGAATTTTTAGGTCTGATTAATTGGATTGTGATTACGATTCCAATGTAATAAATTATAACCATGGAATATTAGTGGTTGGGCCTTTTATATTATATTCCTGCTCTGTCCTGGATTCTATCCTCTTGGAAATATATATATTGACCAATATATATATATATATATATATATATATATATATATAATACGAGCTTACCTAGGTGTAAAACTAGCCATGGTTTATGAGTTTAGGTGTGTTTATATTCTGCACTTTGCTCTCACTTGCCTATTTCGCTTTCTTTTTTTCTTTTTCTATTTATCTCGTGACCCACTGAAAAACCCTGCACATCAAAATGTCAAATACTTTCTTTAGAAGCTCTATTAAAATTCCTGTGGCACAACGTTAATATTCAGAGAATGCATTACCTATCCTTTGTTTCATTTGTTTTACCACAATCTCATTGGCATGCATTTCCGGATCTATATTTCCAACAGAATCTGTCCTTCAAATAATTACGAATTTCCAGTTATGCAAAAATACCTTCAATATTACGTATTCACTATTACTTAACATTAAGCAGTGGAAAAGGCGTTGAGGATCGAACGTAATTTATTTCGTAGACATTGTTCAAAGGCAGGCCTCCGTGGGAGTTGATGTGTGTGAGGAAGGACACTGAACTAAATCTTTATTCGTTAGTAGGTGTCTGGGAAGTCGGAGACTGACAAGAAGCGAGGAAACCTGCCTCCAAGTATCTAGAAACATGTTACATTTTGCAGACACGTAAGTAAGAAGCTGACTTAAACGGAAACACAAGAAAAAGAAGAGTCGTAAAAGACGAATAGGAAGGAAGGAAGGAAGGAAGGAAGGAAGGAAGGAAAGAAGGAAGCGATAAGACTTAAGGAATTTAAAATAAAATTGAAAGTAAAAGAAAATGTATTGAGAAAGATATTTTAAAATAAAAAAAGAGAACGAAAAAAAAAAGAATATAGATAAACACCTGAAAATGAGGAAATAGGAAAACAAATAACTGCGTGGAATCGGAAAAGGATTAAAGAGAATGTAAAGAGACATAACAAAAATATAAGCAGAAGGAAAAAAAAAAATTAAAATAATTTAAGAAAGATAATTCTCAACACAATGGAAGTGAAGAAAGAAAGAAAGAAAGAATGAAAGAAAGAATGAAAGAAAGAAAGAAAGAAAGAAAGAATGAAAGAAAGAAAGAAAGAAAGAAAGAAAGAATGAAAGAAAGAAAGAAAACTTACTTAAACTTTAACTCATTCAATTTCTTTCTTTCTTTCTTTTTAATACTCCTCTTTTTCCTATTTCTTAAACTTCAACTCACTCAGTTTCTTTCTTTCTTTAACTCATTCAATATTTCTTTCTTTCTTTCTTTCTTTCTTTCTTTCTTTTTTCTGATACTCTTCTTTTTCCCCTTCCTTAAACTTTAACTCATTCAATTCTTTCTTTCTTTCTTTCTTTCTTTCTTTCTTTCTTTCTTTCTTTCTTTCTTTCTTATACTACTCTTTTTCCCCTTTCTTTAACTCATTCAGTTTCTTTCTTTCTTTGACGCGCACGCACAGAACCTCGTTACAGTTCGGAGCGCATGTGAAGGAGGAATTTTCAAAACAGGTGTTGTTAAAAAGAAAGAAAGAAAGAAAGTAAGAAAGAAAGAAAACAAGCAACTCTTTACTTTTTGCCTACGCATTTCTTTAGTCGCCTGGTAGTCGAATAAATTAGTCGATAATAGACGTTTGCCCGCCTCAAAATAACCAAGTACTCCACCCGTTCGTATAAACGTGCCCAGAGATTCGTTCACGATTACACAAGAAAAAAAAGTTTTATGAGACGTGGGAGGAGTTATAAAGATATTTTCAGAGAATGCATTTTCCATGATAGAAAATAAATTTATTTTCGGCTCTAATTGATATTTCTTCGGCTTAGTTTAATAGAACACAAGAAGAAATGTGGCTAGAAAGACCGTATAGCGCGTACAGTCCATGTAAGGAGGAAGTACATGCTTTGAGGTCAACATTACGAGCTTTATGACTGGGCTTGAACACCGCTCTCTGGTGACAGATGAGAGAAATATACAACTCTCTCGGCCACCAATTAAATTTATCTTACTCTGACACAAGGCAACAGTAATGGAACATAAAGTAACAACAGAAAACTTTAAACCTAAATGTTTACTTCTTTTACTATTGCATTGAAAGGTTTTTTTATTATATTCTATACATCTTCATAAAAATATTTTTATTTTATTTATAATTTAAAATCTTGAATATGTGTCAATGTACCGTAAAAAATAGCACATCAGATTCTTAAAAAGTTGATGCAAACGCACAGTATAATATCGATATTGTTATAGAAAAAAGACTGTTTAAAAGTATTTACCTAATGCCACAAACACCTGATTAGGTAGATTGTGCTATTTTGGAAAAACAGCAATTGTAATTTCCAATTTGAATTCTTACGACATTTTGGACAAGGTTAAAAATAAGCAGGATTAACATTGATTGCTAATGAGGAAAAAGTCGATTCAAAATCTAGTAATGTCGGGTTTTTATACGTAACCCAATTGGCTACTGGTAGATCAGTCCCATAACCTTGCACCTGAAAAGTATTGAATAATGCATTAGCTTAAATTGTTCTTTCAAAACTTCATCTCTGTATCTCTTTCTTGGGCGTGGGGAGAATACACCAGTTGATATGTCTTATCGAAAACAAAAATAGATAGAAACTAAGACACATGCGCAGTTGAGACATGCAAACAATGTCTTCTTTTTTTTCTCCACAGACACACGCGCGCAAATTTACGTGAAGTAAAGGATATAAATTTCTCTCTCTAATACATAAACATGCATTAGCATTACGATTAACATGCGTATCTCGATGGGCATTGGCAGTAAACTCTTTCTTTGCAGAATATGGCGACGTAACCATTTTGACCCAAGAATATATGTAATAAGCGCCCAGCTCTTTCATTATTTCTTAAATAAACGGCTTTGCAAGCTAGTATCATTTCATCACCACCGTGTTGACCCCGTGTTTTCTCACGTCATGATGCACGGTTGAACTTTCAATGAATCTCCTTACCTTGAACACCTATTGGGACTCAAACTCACCCGAAACCTCAAGTGGAACTCATACAGTATATAGGATTCATGGCTCAAAATGATGGGAAAATCATCTGTTTCTTGTTCGACTACAGAAATCACCTGGCTCCTTCTGCTATGATTTACTTTTGATTTTTGTCCATTCGGGATGTTGGTGATCATGGCTCTCCACAATTTCCTACCGTTTCTAGTTCTTAATAAATTTCGTCTTTTTGCTATCTCTCCTGAAACCTGTTCTGTCATCCATTTGCTCAAATTCGCTAAGTAGGTTATGCGTTGTTTCCCCCCTGTCTCTCATGCCTTCAATCTGTCATGTGAGTGTCAAATTCTCCAAGCTCTCTTTCTTCATTATGTGACGTAGAAATTTCAACCGTCTCTTTCTGATGTTCTTCTTGTTTCAATTTTCTCAAAAACTTCGTCGTTACTCACATGTTCGGTCCATGGTATTCTCAGCATCCTTCGGTAGAACCGCATTTCTATTGCTTCAAGTCCCTTCTTCATCGATAAGGAGATTATTCAGCGTTCACTGACATATAGGAGGATTGATGCTATCTTTATCATACAAGAGACAAATTAAACCAAAATTTGAGCACTGATCTCATATCTGCACTGGAGCTACACAATCATTACTTTCCATTTTTGATAGAATTCAAGGACTTTTTTGCGACCTTGTGGAGCATGACTTATTTTCCCACAGGTGCAATGGCAAAAGCCTATTGATACATTATCACAGTGAATGTTTAGACGAGTTCTATTCTTTAGTCCCATCACTTCAGGCATATACAGCTAAGATCCACCATGTTACGTCCACGGATTGAAGTCATCCTCGGTTCCACTGTATTCCATTTACCAGGAAGAAGTTCCATTCAGAACCGCTACTTCGTGAAACAGACACACGCGTTGATGCTACCTCGATCTCTATAATCTTAACTTCTTCAATGGTCAACAGTTATTCTTCATATTCTCAAATTCTACCTCCTTCTCTTATATCCCAAACTTTATTTGGTAACTTTGAGTGGCTCTTAGGCTTTGGGAGTCAGTTAGTATTACATAGTCACACATGAAATGACACATTTTTTGGTTTGGTTATTGATCCGGTCATCTAACGAAGTAACCTCCTTAGAATATAAAGAAAATCATGACTTATTCCAGACTCTTTTTCTTTCCAGATAATTTTTCATTCGATATATTGTTACTGATAAGTTCAATGAAATTGATTACAATAAAATAATGTCGAGTAATCTTACTACACGAGTACAAACTGGGAAAAAAGAACCATTTTTGCATCGCATCATTACATGCAATGAGAAATGGATACTCTTTGGCAACAGTAAGAGTGTAGGCTAGTAGTAAGATGCAAGTGCACTACTAAAAAATTACCCCCAAACTACACAAGTTAATGGTTACTACATGGGGGTCTTTCAAAGAGGTTATTCGTTCTTGCCTCAAGGAAAAACAATAACAGCAACCTCTTATTGTGGAGAAATTGAGTGTATGTATAAAAATTGAAAAAGAAACATGCTAGACTTTTGAAAGAGATGCCCCAATTTTGCTGTATGACAGCGCATGGATGCACGCTTCTTAATCAACTGTCCAAAAGCTGCATAGCCTGAACTATGACATTTTGCCTCATCCTCCATATTCACCTGATATCTCTCCTACTGATTATCACTTATTTAAACATTTTGAGCTTTTCATATACAATAAAAGATTCTCCGTTAAGGAAGAGTTAATTGAGGCATTTGCACAGCTTATCACATCTGTTGTGGTACGATCCACCTAATTTACATAGTGGAGTACCGACCATATAAATATGGGTTGGTACCGGGAAGACGAGGGAAGAAGTAAGAAGAGATCCAATCGAGAGACTCTGCCCGACTGCGATTAAGTTAACCCATTCTACAGGAACAGTCTTCCCAAGAATATACAAAACTAACTGTAAATATCGTGTACCTTTTCCTTGTTTCAATACATTTTGTTTACGTACATTTTGTGTTGTATTGTTATTATTCCATGCTTATCCAAGCTTCAACAACATCAAAGGATGAGAATTTTTTCAAAGATGGGATCAAGAATTTAGAGGTACGATGGAGAACAGTCATTCATCAAGATTGTGCCTATTTCAATTAAATAGATATTAAACATTTCAGAAGTGTTTTATTCATTTCTTATAATGTGCGTCATTTCATGTTTGACAACCTAATATTAAGAAAAAAAACCTTTATATAAAGTTAGCGTGCTCTAGTACGATCAAAATTACTAAGAATCAAACTCAGAACATCATTTACGAATGATCTGTGAACTCGGCTTGATGACTACTGATTTACGGTAAAACTGAATAAATTCACACATACAAATTCACACAAACACAGTGGGAGAAACATTAACACAAAAATCAGGCATTTTCAAACGAAAAGAACGTAATCCACGAAGAAATATATTATTTATATGTCTGTGGACATTCTCATTTATATAGACTCAAATACAGAAAAATCAATCCCAAATCCCAAACTGACAAACGCAGATTTATAATCGTGATCAAAATCTTTGGGAATAGAGAACACCAAATTGTTGTAACAAGTGTGACGTTTATCAACAGGCATTGAACAAGTGATGCTAAATTCTGGTGAAGTTAATGTTCACTTCATACAAATGTCCTTTGGACATACGCTTTTTTTCTGCGAATATTCCCTTCTTCTAAAAGTTTCATCAAAGTTTACCGACATGTTTCAAGGATAAAAATGCTGTCAAATTAATAATTATTCTTTGGTACTGTTTCATTGTTCGTCACCATATTCTATAGGATCTCACTATTAAAAGGAATGCTTACTGGAAATACCAGAAAGATCCAATATTTCACCGATTTCTTTACATTGGAAATGCCATAAAAATCCATCAGGTAACTCTCTCCCTTTCGAACCGACTAATCATCCATCATGTCTTGGAAATGCCATAAAGATCCAATATTTCACCGATTTCTTTACATTGGAAATGCCATAAAGATCCATCAGGTAACTCTCTCCCTTTCGAACCGACTAATCATCAATCATGTTTTGGAAATGCCAGAAAGATCCAATATTTCGCCGAATTCTTTACATTGGAAATGCCATAAAAATCCATCAGGTAACTCTCTCCCTTTCGAACCGACTAATCATCCATCATGTCTTGGAAGTTCTAAAATTTAAGTAACTTCTTTCTCTTGTAAATGCAATAATGATCCATCACGTAACTGTCTTAATGTGGAAAAAACATAAAAATCCATCTTTCTAAACTTAGACATATAATCCACCACGTAATTTCCCTTTTATGGAAATATCATAAAGATCCAGACCATAGCATATTCCCAATGAAAATTTCGCAGAAATCCTGCATATAATTTCCTCACATTGGAAATACCATAAAATTCCATCATATAACTTTCTTGACTTGAATATGTCAAAAGGATCAAACATATACTTTCATTGCCTTAGAAATGTCGTAACGTTCCAGAATGTTCGTTATCTGTCTTGGACATGCCACAAAGGTCCATACTTGCCTTGAAAATGTGTTTCGTTAAGATTCCACGGATGATCTTGCATCACACACCAATGATTCTCTAAATCAATGCTTAGCGAATTAAAATCTGTGTCAAATATGAACCCACCCGGTATTTCATCCAACCCACAGGCCATATGGAAGATAATATTATTCTGAAATATTTTTTATATTATTTTCCGTCTAATATCACTATGTGTAAAATTAAAAACAAATCTTTGTCTATATATCATTAACGTCCTCCTTCAGGTCGACACTTAAAATGACCGACACAAATTGCGATAAAATGCAGAGACAATTACATTGAGAAAATGTTAATGTATCCCAAATAACGGGATATTTAAAATCTTTTCCCGTCAATTAATTTCATCATTTCACGCTGACTATGCGTGATACATTTTAAAGATGATTCGTTGGTTGTTTTTGTTTAACAGCATATCGACCTCTATAGGTTATTTAATTTGGTACGCCATTTTATTTTATCTTTTTTATTTATAATCGTTTGGTGATACGTCTTACTAATTAACCCATAACTTGGGGAAGAAGAGGTGGATTCATGCCTTTCCCGAGGGTATTTACGCGTAAGTGAATATAACGAACCCAACTAGAACTGGAACTCTGCTCTCCGATTAAACAATTTTGAGCCATTATCTATTACACCACCTGCACATCCAAGCTTACAATACCTGGTATTCCAAAGCGGTCACCCATCTAGGTACTAACCAGGCTCGACGTTGCTTAATTTTGGTGATCGTATGGCAACCAATACACAGTAATAGGTAAGGGGCACAGATTATGTGGCTATTTGTGGAAAATACCGGTTAACCCGAGACGTGAACAGGTTAAGCATCCTTGTGGGAGTCGGTTTCGTATAGCAGCGGTGTGTGAGAAGAAGAGGTTCGAATGGAACTTATATCTCACCAATGGAATATGAAGAGAATGAACGTTCTTCAATACAATGGAATTGACTTGGTAAGCCTTAACCGTCAAGGTTAGAATTGGTGGCATGAAGGAATGTACAGAGTGGTCCGAAAGTCTTGTTACCCCCACTAAAAAGTAATGAGAACAATAGAACAACATGTAATACAGTAATACAAAGGACATGTACTAGATTCACTTTGTTCACTTTCATTGACGCTGTCACACATCGAGAAGGTCTGTAAGCAACTCGTGTCAGTCATCTGAAATAGAAAATTATATTATATAGGGGTGACAAGATTTTCGGACCACCCTGTAGTTCGCCTGAACACTTTTCATGGGAACAAGTGATAGGGCTGTGAGAGGCTTGCGACGTTTCGTAAAGAAATCATCCCGATAAAAAAATGTCTTATTGGAATGCGTAATATTGCAAGATAAAGCGTTGAGACTGTTTTCGTGGCGCCAAGCCAGATGTGTGTCCGGCGAGAATGCACCGGGAGAGCGAGATTGCGTATTAATACTGAGAAACAAGAAAGAAAAAAGGCCGTGTATAATTGGACGGCAGATAATCCAACAGAGAAAGTCGTTCATTCGGCGTGAGTTTATTCCACGTGCTACAAAGAAACTGGTGGTGGTTATGCGTGGCGCGCGCACACACACACACACACACACACACACACACACACACACACACACACACACGCACACACACACACACACGCACGCACATACGTCACATCAAGTGTTCTGTAATGCATCAAGATAACTGCACGTGTACTGCAGCCATAGTAGCTGTGGTGAGTCTAGGGCAAAATTGCGTGACCAAATCTAACCCATTTCAGGCAGTTTTATTTATATATAAAGCGAGTAAAACTAGTCAGCCCTGTTATTTAACAATGAAGAGAGAAGAGGGTATTTTAAAGAAAGTGAACGCAATGAAACACGGTCGAAATTCGAATGCGCCTTGCCAGTTTTCCTTTCCGAGTCGCTCACTGTTACACTAATCACACGCACATAGACACACACACACACGGACGGACGGACACACATGATCAAACTTTCGCTTCTTTACAGAAATCCTTCCTTGCTACAAAAGAAACTACTAATAACTGGAAAGAAACAGCTTAAACCTTTAGTATATACACATAACAACGAAAGAAGGTTTGGAAAATTTAAAACTCAAAGGACACATGGAAAAGCAGAGAGAAGCGGTGAATAATCTATTTGAAAAATTTCTCCAAATATATAGAGTACAAGAAAGAAAAGTGAGGGGAAAAAAGAAGAAATATTGCCGGGATTTTAAAAGCTTTCGAAAGGTTTTAAGGCGTTTTTAGAATCCCTGCACTAGATCGAACTTTGTAATGATCCTATCCCTGATATTCATCGCTTTAAAAAAAAATTTTACGTTGTAGATTTAATCATTATTTGAATTATCAATATTATATCTATATCTTCCCAAACACTCCTATACAGATCGATGGGATGAACCTGAAATATGTGAAGTCATTTACATATTTAGGAAGTAAAACGAATGCAAAAGCATCCCTTGATGACGAAATATCAAATCGGAACGCCAAAGCTACAAGTGCATTTGGGAAGCTTCGCCACACCCTATGAAATGGGGGTGGCATCAAATTGGACATCAATATATGACTTTATAGACCAACAGTTTTGTATACACTGTTGTACGGCTCAGAATTTGGCGACAGGGTGCCCGATGCTGATCTAGCAAAATGCAACATTGGTGGAATTGAGATTTTCCTGATTCAGTCACAACTTTGGACTGCTCATGTTGCAAGGATTAGTGAAGACAGAATACCTAAAGTCCTCATGGATAACCAGCTTCGATAAAGGACTGTTGGACAGCTATCGCTCAAGTATAAGGACAACCTGTCAACTACAAATGTAACTCATACTCACTTCAAGCGAGTTGCCGTGGATAGAAATAAGTAGAGTTATTTATGCCAGAGTGATATAAAAAATGTTGCAATCAGTCTTATTGACCGACTAAGAAACAAAAGACAACGACGAAAAGTGTCAGTAAATATTCCTGTTGCTCTGACCAGAGATCTTCGCTGTTGCACAATATGTGGACTTGTACGCAGTTCACTAGCGGAACTGAAGTGTCACATACGACAAAACATAAAAACTGAATGAGGTTCTCGGATCCTCATACGTCGAAATCAACGGGAGAGTCTAACACATATATAAGTGATGGAAAAATCTAAATGAAATCGGCTAGATTAAAAAACAAAATTAAATGTAAAATTCCCAGCATCCCTCATTTGTGCGCATGTGTAGTCGCACCAACATAATAAATTTAGTCCGATGAAGTCCTAAATAACAAAAAGCATGACACGAAAACTTTTTACGCTTTGTCCTACATTTTCCCCAATATATATATATATATATATATATATATATATATATATATATATATACAAATTGCTGGCCATTCGTATTCGAGGATACCCGTCTACTAGGGTGACTAGCCAAACCATATTGATGACTCAGGCACGTTAGTACGAAACATGTAACCCTGTGGTCGTTCAGGCCAACTTTCATTTCATGATTTGATAGGAACAACTGGATCATCTCAAAAACGTACCCGTAGCTTGTGGAGAAGACCTAAATACCAAACCTTTCAAAGGCTTTCGAGATGTCCAATGCTACATTCTTTATCTAGAGCATGATAGACACTTTACGCAATTATCGTTAGTACATCAGCAATTGATATGGAGAAATGAAAGCCGTATTGCTTGTCTGAGAAAAGAGATGATTAACCCATTCTGGATTGATTAGGGCTTCTGGGAGTTTCATCAAAAGCTAAGAGGCCGATAGTTGGATGGGTCAGATGATTCACCAGAATTCTTATAAACTGGAACAACAGATGATGACTTCCTGCAGGAAACAGCGAGGCAATTATTATACAGTTTAGAGAGAACAGGAGCCAGTTTGGGAGTACACAATGACTATAACAGGAATGCCATCGGGTCCACATGCTTTGTGTGAATTAAGATCAGAGATGACTGCAGAAACCATGGAAGGTGTTATATTTATATCATTCAACAGCGAATCAGTTCTAAGTGGGAAGTTAGGCAGGGATAATCCAGATAATTCAATAGTCGAGTTTGAGGAAAACTTACGGACAAAGCTTTATCAGCAGAAGATGATAACACCTCAAATCAATTGAAGAGGGACGACAGAAAGCTTGCATTTATTTATTTACCATTACAGAGACGCCAGAGGTCATGAGAGCCAAAGTTTTTAGACGCTATGCAGTGCCTCATGCTCTCGGCAAATAGCGACTTAGCTTTTTCGAGGACTGGTTTACATTTTTTACGAACAGTAGCAAAAAGGCACCTGTTATGACGAGAGCTGTCACTCTGGTATAGCCGGACATAGTGGTTCCTGTGTGCTATGGCGGCCAATCATGCTGATGTGAAGCATAGAGAGGATTGCAGTTTCACCTAGTATTTCTGAGAAGGGATGAAAGCGTTCATGCCGGTTTTGACCCAAGAAGAAACCTCGGTAGCGCAATTTTCATTTGGGGATTGAAGATATCAGTCCAATGGGCGTCACGAAGAAAATCTCGGAATGAGTTCCAATCCGTATGCTGGTACTAGAAAGAGGTTTAATGGATAGGGGTTTCCTGGTTTAAAGGATGCTTGGAGTTGAAGAATAGTCAAAAAATCAATAGCTGTCACAGAGTGGTCTGAATTGCTAAGAGGGAAGTGTTGTGAAACTTGGCAATAGCGCGGAGAGGATAGATTTAACAGAGAAGCATGTTGCTCGGTTTGGCTCGGGAAACGAGTAAGGAAGTTTACGATTTGAATGAGGGATTGGGCTATGGAAAAAATTAATGTCTGTGTACCGACAGCATCAGTACCTTTAGAAAGTCTCAACCACGTGTCGTGGTGAGCATTAAAGTCACTGAAGACAAAGATGTCTGCAGATGGATGGAAAGAAAATGACTTTTCTATACTGTCAGCTACTGCGTCTAATATACTGCAGTCTTGAGAAGAGGGTGGGGGCGATAATAGAAAAAGAGATAGTTGACAGCGAAAGACGGAAGCACATAAAAGAGTAGTCAGGAGACCTCGGGAGACAATTCTCTGGCCATCGGCAAATTATCCCAGATGTAAACACCAAGGCCATGTGAATGCTGGAATCTTTTCAGCAAAGGGGGAGATACCCTGGAACCAAGAATTCATTGGTAGCAATGGAAGAAGTTAGTTTCACAGAGGCTAAAGATATCAAGCGAATTTTCCAGGAGAAAAGATCCCGCTGCAGGAGTTTGGAATGGATACAACGAATATAGGAAAAAGAAAACCATATCCTGAACAAGGGAACAAGGGATGAACCTCTACTCCTGTTCAATAGACATGGAAGACATGCGAACCGGACAACAGGTGAGCCTATCTACACTTATTATCCTGTTAAAAAAATTGAGACAGAATTCATATTAAGTAATGACTTAGTATAAGTTCTGATGTCTTCTAGCAAGTTAAAAATCAGGATAGTAAAACTTATTTTTTCAGCATAAATACGCACACACACACACACACACATACATATATATATATATATATATATATATATATATATATATATATATATATATATATATATACGTGCTGAGGCAATTATTAAGAGAAAATTAAAACAATGAAGGAAGTAAAAGAAAAATAGAATAACATTTGGAAATAGAAAAAAATCATATTTTTTTTACTGCAGGTCTGTTAAAAAGTAAGTATTTCTTAAATATTTTTATTGATAAAAAAAGATAGATATTCTAGTTTGTTAAATAATTTGCAATAAGTTTGCTTCAATTTATGTAAATGTTACGAAAATGGCTCCATCTGATGGGGAACATAATTTAATTCACCTATGAGTACTAACAGATCATAATCGGGCCCTGGTTGAATTTATTGTCATTATTTGAATATATATATATATATATATATATATATATATATATATATATATATATATATATATGTGTGTGTGTGTGTGTGTGTGTGTGTGTGTGTGTGTGTGTGTGTGTGTGTGTGTGTGCATAAGGACGATTTAATATTATGATCATTCGAAATTTAAGACTATAACAATACAATATTTAAGGAAAGACATTTCATGTAGTGCTCAATATTAGAAAGTAGAGCGTTGATAGTATTTATGCAGAAAATTGCTTAACTGTAATTGTGCATATCAATCCTTGGAGTTTTTCCTTTGTCCCCAACTTCGAAGTTTCGTAGAAACATCCACTTTTCAAATTCATAACTGGAAATATATTACGCTTATGAACGAACACGTAAGACTTAAAAAACGCGGAAATCAGAAATCGGAAATATATTTATTTAATTAATGGGCCCTTGAAGAAATTGATCATCAGCGAACTGACATCTTCATAATTAATTAATCAAAGCTAAGGATCGGAAGCTCATGAAGGATTGAAAATAATGTTTTCATATATACTACTCCAGGATGATTTTCCAACTTATTCAAGATTATCTTCACCCTCTCTAACTTTCTATCTTTCTGTCCTGGTGTAACAAGGTACCTGACACGTTTCATGTATGATTTTATTCTCAAGTTTTTTTCATTGCTCTTTGGAGATGAAATTCCTCTTTCACATGCTAAACGTCTTATGAATTGAGTTGGATCTTTTCTAATTGATCTCTTTATCCCTAAGTTGAAATGAGGATCCCTTTTACTGTTGGGACCTCCTGATCTAGTTTTCCTCTCAACTGTTCCCGTTTTTTTAATTTATTTACCGTTCCCTTGATGGTTCTTGAATGGAAGATGGAAGCCAGAATATGAATGTTGATACCATTACTGAAGGCATGAATGATCTTTTTCTTCTCACCATTGCTCAGTTGAGAAGACAGTGGGGCTGACACAAAATGATTTTGACCTTTTCTCTGTCTAGCTGAATAACTCAAAGGGTTTTTCAGTGATGTTTAAGTCAAATGGTGTCATGATGGCTAAACGTCTCATCTGAAAACTTGGGGAAAAGAAACTCAATTAGTTTAGTGTTTTTTTAGATATTAAACATTTCGTGGGATGGCCAATTATGCTGTTATACGATTTGGAGAATTTTGCTGTTACACCCGGGATATATATATATATATATATATATATATATATATATATATATATATATATATACACACACACACACTTCAAAAGTGTGGTTGCTTCTGCACAAAGCCTTTATCACTATAATCAAACCATATGTGCTGGTGTCTGGTAGTCGGTTCCTCGGAACTGAGATTCTTGACCCTCATACATCAAATACGACGGGAGAGTCCACCATATATATATATATATATGTGTGTGTGTGTGTGTGTGTGTGTGTGTGTGTGTGTGTGTGTGTGTGTGTGTGTACAAGAGAGAGAGAGAAATCGCGTGTGCACACACGCGCTCGCGTAAGACGGCATGAGAGGGAGAGTGAATGGAAAACTTAAAAGAGAGAGAGAGAGAGAGCGTCACTAAGCGAGATATGCTTGTCAACACAAAGACAAATACGAACGCTTCAACTTAATTTGTCGGGAAGTCTTGACTCTGTCGTCAACAACTGCAAAATGTTTCGGCGCTTTTTTCAGTAATTGCAGCCTATAAATTCTCCGGGGTCCCGTCGACACGAGAAACACTGTTTTAACAATGGCAGTGTCTCCAAAAGCAGACGCTACTGCGTTGACTGTGCGAAAGGAACGTGAAACATTTCCAAGAGCCTACTTGACTAAAAATTTACACTTTAATCTCAATCATGCATTTTAAACGATCGCAGACATAAAAAAAATCATTGAAAAGTACTTTTACATATTTTCAGGAATGCAGAGACGATGCAGAGGAATTTGTACCAATTGGATATAACGCTTGTGTTGTTTGGCGTGACTGTTGTTTCTTTTTTGCAAAGCGAATTTGGCACCATACCATCAAATGTTCTGAAGACACTACATCTGTGTGCCGCGTCCCTGGTCGATCATGGTACTCCACATCTTCCTATTCCTTGTGGCCTTTAGTAGTTTTTCCCCTTTTACCTAGTAACCAATAAAAATAACGTTTATAGTAATACTAGTTTAAAAGCTGTCCTATAGGGTGGCATCTAAGCTAGCTCCTGCGGAGGCTTCTTGATTGGGCCTTCATCACAATAGATACGGAGGAGTCGATGCGAGATAAACTACAGAAGAACTCAAAACTGATCGATGCATTTAAGTATTGCATTAATATTTAAGCTTACCTTTTAAAAGTTCAACGATAATTTTTCTGCCGCCACTTAATTTAAAGACAATTTGATATTCACAATGACTTTCGATTATTCCCAAATTTATTTCTAAATTGCAAAAAATCGCCGAAAATAGTCGCAGTAATGAAAACTTGGGAATCTAATATTTCGAGATTGTGGATTTTCATTTGCTTACGGAATCGGCTTGATTTCAAAATGGTATGATATGTTGGGCTAGGGCCTTTAGGAGTAAAGTTGAAAACATGAACAATTTTATTTTGAAACACTATAATTTGAGAGCAGTTGAAAAAGTCTGACAGAGTGACACACTGATCATCGCATTTATTATATACAAGAAATAAAATCGGATAAAAAAAAATCCTCTCAAAAATGACCGTTGTTTACGTTTCGGGTATGAAGCTGAAGCTAGCAGATCGAGTTTTATCTTGTGCTATTATTTAAATATTAAATATATATATTTGAGTGTGTGTTTTGACGCGTGTGTGTTTATACTTGTGTGTGCGTGAGAGAGAGAGAGAGAGAGAAGGAGAGAGAAAGAGTGGGTACGACAATGAAAGAAAGATTAACTCAGTACCCACCTCCGACGAGTAAGCGGCGTGATTCCCGGGTGGGGGTATGTCTACGATACTCCGGAGTCGGGATGCTGAATGTAACAGCAATCAGCTAAGTTTGCTACCGGGCGCTGATAGCTCAGGGTTAAAATCTCCGACTGATGGCAATTCAGTCGGGCTTCTATCCCGGTCTAAGGCAATCGGATGTCCTGCCACACGAACTGTGATACAGCAAAACAGTGGATGACTATATATATATACATATATATATATATATATATATATATATATATATATATATATATATATGAAAGCGCGTTAAAGAGCCAGGGCATGTTAATGAGGAAGACAGTAGATCCTTTTTGCAAAGTTCTATATTCATTTTTTTCCACATATTTCGGAGGACCTTTACATGCATCTTAAAAAACGCAAAAACAAAAGCGTTTTTGTCGACACCTTCTCTTGTCTTCCTCAGGTGTTACATCCGATGGTTTTTCAAATTTCTCCGTAAATTTTTCTTTCTTCTACGTTTTCATTTGCTCAACTAAAACGTTATAATCATGAGATTTAGCGTAAAGTCTCCGTGTATCTAATCCACAAACGGTAGTTTCTTTCAGAAGAAAAAGCCAGTCTTCTTCAAATCTCGTCTGTTCTCGTGTTAATACATGACCTTCATAATCAATTCCGCGACTCTGTTAGACTGGTGTTCTAGTTGTAGAAATAACAGAAAAAAAACCTTTTTCAGATCACCGAATGCAACATGCCCAAGTCTATACATTTATTAAAGTTAGCAAATGTGAATATGTCTAAGAAGTTGAGCACGAATGAAGAAGAGAGAGAGAATAAATAAGTTGGAAAAAGAAAGTAAGTAGAGAGAATGTGAAGAATAGAGAAACTGAGTGAAGAAGAAAGAGAATGAAAGAGTGAAAAAGAAAGACAAATTGAATGAAGAAGAGAGAGAGAGAGTGAAAAAGAGAAAGTGAGTGAGGATAGAGTGAGTGAATGAGAAAGAGAAAATGAGTGAATAAGAGTGAGTTTAGTGAAGAAGAGAGACAATGAAGAATAAGAGAGAGAAGGTAAGTGAGGTGAGTGATTGAAGAAGGAAGAGAAAGTGAGTGAAAAAGAGAAAGTGATTGAATGAAGAAGAGAGAGATTGAAGAAGAGGGAGTGAGCGAAGAGGAAGTGAGTGAAAAATAGGGAGAAATTGAGTGAAGAAATGAGAAAAAGTGGGTGACGAAGAGATAACGTGAGTAAAGAAAAGAAACTGAGCAAAGAAGAAAGAAATCTGGTGATGAGGAGAGTGTGTGTGTGTGTGTGTGTGTGTGTGAGAGAGAGAGAGAGAGAGAGAGAGAGAGTGTGAAATGGCAAATGAAAGGAAAGATTCAAATAGAAAAGAAAGAGAAAGAAAATATGAAATATATTTTATTTACATTGATTTTATCACTTCTTTCGTCTTTTAATATCTTTCAACCCCCCTCTCGCTCTCCCTCTCTCTCTCTCTCTCTCCCTCTCTCTCCCCACTCACGGCTTCGTTTTCCTTTTTCTATCACTCACTCTTCCTTCTCAAATATGATACCTTCTCTCTCTTTCTACTTATCTTTTTATCGCAATCTCCCAGTTTTTCATAATCCTCTCCATCTTCATTTTAGTCTCTCTCTTTGTCTCTCTTTCGCTCTTGCCAACTTTTTTCTTTTGTCTTTCTTCATCTCTGTTAAATTAGCTCCCGCTTTCAATCACTCTTTTCCTCACTCACGATCCTTCTCTGCTCTCTCTCTCTCTCTCTCTCTCTCTCTCTCATACCCTGTTTCTCTCTATCGTTGACTCAATCTCTCACTGTGGAAGAGAGAAACAGAGACTGAAGAAGAAAAAAGGCAATGAGAGTAATAAAGAAAGAAAATGAAGAAAAAAAAAGCGAGAAAACAATAAAAAGAAAAAAGAGTAGATATGTAGGGACATATCATAAAAAGAGAGAAAAAAACGTAAAGAGGAAAAGGAGTGAATGGGGTGAAAAAGAAAAGGAGAAACAGGGAGAAAGAGAGAGAGAGAGAGAGTGAAAAAGAAACGTAAAAAAAAAGTAGAGAAACATGGGGATAGTAAAAACAGGCAGAGAAAAGGAAAGGACAACGTGAAGATAGAAACGGGGTGAGAAAAGGAGAGGTAAATTTGAAAAAGAAAAAGAGAATGAGAGATAAAAGATGTGAGAAAGAAAAAATGGTAATAAAAAGAGAAAGCAAGGGAAAGAAAAATATGAACGAGAGATGCAGAAATGTAGAGAAAAAAGGAGTAAAGAAAGAAAGAAAGAAAGAAAGAAAGAAAGAAAGAAAGAAAGAAAGAAAGAATCGCAGTAAAAAAAGGAGGTGAAGAAAGAAAAAAGAAATAAAGCATCGAAATAAAAGAACATAGAAAGAAATAGAAAGAAACTTGTGAAGAAAAAGGAAGAAGTAAAAAATGAAAAATAAAAAAAAATTATAGAAGAAAAGAGGGGAGTGAGGTGAACAGAAAAAAAGAGAAAAATTATGAGTGCGAAAAGAGAAGAAAAAGCGCAATGAGAGAATGAGAGTAACAAGAGAAAGAAAGATAGAGAAAGAAAAGGAGAAAAGAGAGATAGAACGGAATAAATTAGGAGAGAAAGAAGGCAGTGAAAAGAGAGAAAAAGAATAGAATAGAAAAGATAGAAAGAGTATGAGAAAATGGAAAAGGGTGAAAGAGAAGGAGAAAATGGAAAAGAGAGAAATAGAATGAGAAAATAGAAAACAGAGAAAGAGAATGAGGACATAGAAAAGAAAGAAAGAGCATGAGAAAATAGAAAAGAAAAAAGAGAATGAGAAAATAGTAAAGAGAGAAAGAGAATGAGAAAATACAAAAGAAAGGGAATGAGAAAATAGAAAAGAGAGAAATAGAATGAGAAAATAGACAAGAGTGAAAGAGAATAAGAAAATAGTCTAGAAAGAAAGAAAAAGGGGAAAAAACAGAAAAGAAAATGAGAAAATAGTCTAGAAAGAAAGAAAATGGGAAAATAGAATAGAGAGAATGAGAAAATAGAAAAGAAAGAAAGAGAATGAAATAATATAAAAGGGAGAAAGAGAAAAGAATAGAAAAGAGAGAAAGAGAAAAGAATAGAATAGAAAGAGAGAGAAAGAGAATGAGAAATAGAAAATAATATTATAAACAGAAGAAAAAAGGAAAGTAGTGGAAAAGAAGAGAAAGAGAGAAAAGTAGAGAATGAGAGAAATAGAGGATGAGAGAAGAAATAAAAGAGGAAGAGAGAAAGAGGAAGAGAGAAAGAGGAAGAGAGAAAGAGGAAGAGAGACGATTGGTAAATCTATATTTAGAGTAGTTACAATACGACCTTGTATATGGCTGTTTTAATGGAAAAGCATCGTGCATCGCCCCCGTCATTCCAGCAGACTCTCCACCACTCATGCCTTCACCCAGCCACATTCCCATCTACATCACCACCACCTCTACCCACGTGGCATAAATCTCTGTATCACCCCACCATCTTAACCACCATACCAGTAAAACTATCATCATCATCGTCTTAAAAAAAAATAACCCACTTTCCTTCCTTAAATCCATATCCTCCCGCCATTCCTCTTCCCCCTCAACCTTCTTTCTTAATATACTCAAACTGCAACTCCACTGCTATGACAGCGACTTCTATTTGGTCTATTAATACTTTTACTGCTGCTGTTGCAGGCGACTATTGCAGAGCGCCTGGCTTAAGAAACATGGATGGTTTCGCTAGTTTTTGTGTTCGATCTTCGCTGCTTACAATGACATTCTCTTTTAGCTTCTTCTTATTATTATTTGTGGCGTGTCCATTCAGGACATGAAAAACTATGGCTCTCCACAACTTTCTGTCTTCTATGTTTGTCTTTTTGATATCCTCAAACTCCTTGTTCTGCCATCCATTTACAAAACAGGTTACTAGCATTTTTTTAAAAATCGATTTCACCCCAAACAATGCAGCAAAGCCACTAAGACTCAAGGGGCTACTGGGTTTGGAACAATCAGAAAACAGAAACATTACTAATAAGCGGGAAAAGAAAATAGTAACCAGGAAGACAGTAGCTAGCAATTGACATTGCATTTAAATTTTTGGAGATTAAAGTTGGCTGGCAAGTATGGAGCTGGAAGGGAGTGCCACAAGCAAGAAGTGTGAGAAAAGAAATTGTTAGCATAGAACTTACGGTTACATCTAGCTAGCTCAACTGTAAATTGATGAGATCTCGACACCAGTCTCGTACTGCGTTTAAATTAAAAAAATCTAGCTGTTATCTTCTCATCTCTCTCTCCTTCAATATGTCCTGTATCAAATTTCCCGAGCCTTCTTTCCTCACTATGTATCCCAAACTTTTCAAGTGATTCTTTCTGCTTTTAAATATAATGCCCTTTTTGTTCTCATTTTTTTTAAAATCTTCTTTATTTCTTACGTGCTCCGTCTATGGCATTCTCAGTATCCTTCAGTATAACCACACCTCTCTTGTTTTAAATCGTCTCTTTTATCGGTGAGGAAATTGTCCAGTATTCACTGCAATATAGGAGGAATGAAATTACCCAGGAGTTCAGCACTCGTGTCTTTGTTTATAATGTAATTTTCCTATTTCTTAATACTTTGCTTAGCTTCTGTATTCCAGTGTGTCTTTGAATTTTGATGTCACATTTTCCGTCTTCTTCTAAAACCCTTACCCAATTCTTAAATGTCTGCACGTTCCAACTCCTAGTTCCTCTTCCTTGACAACCATGCATTCTGTATTCTTACAATTGATGGTCAGTCATTTCTTTTTTACTTATGTATAAGCATTTTTTTAAAAAACAAAACAACTTTTTTTTAATTATTTATTATTATTAATATGGTATGTTTATTTATTATTAATATTGTTTCTTTGTTGCTCACATGTTCAATCCATGGGATTCTCAGTATCTCTCTGCTTCAAGTCTCTTCTTCATCTGTGAGGAAATTGTTCAGTATTTATTGCCATATATAAACATTGATATTACGTAGAAGTTCAACACTCGTTTCTTTGTTTCTAACGATGTTTCCTGTTCTTTTCTTTTCTTTTTTTTTCTTTTTTTTAGATTTTGGAAGCCATCATTTCCGATTCCATTGCCCCTTCGGATATTGGTGTGGATTTCTGTTAAAACATTTCTCATAGATTTAAACTACCTCACATTTATTTTGATGTCCCCAGTTCATATCTCGCATTTTGAAACTGTTTCTCTTGCTTGCTAAGGAGCCGGAAGAGAGTTCCGCAATCGAGAAAAGAAACTGTTAAGATACAACTTATGGTTACAGCCAGCCAATTCAACAGTAAACTGATGAGGCTGTTACTGAGCTTAAATTTATAAAGTCTAGGTACCATAGCGAAGAACTCATACGAACAATTACCATCAAAGTATTTATAGAAAAGGCACAGGAAGCGAATTTACGGCGGTGGAAAAGTAACTGAAGCCGAGCCACCAGATCAGGACCAATAATATTGCTGATTATTCTTTGGATCTCATCAAGAAGCTCAAGTTAAATAGCAGCGGAAATGTACCAAATGTGAAAGCAATATTCTAAACATGAACGAATGGTAGAATTATAGATATGTATGATAGATTCTGGAGAGAAAAATTGTCTGAGATGAAACAGTAAACCAAATTTCTCAGCAGCTGACCTAGCAATAGATTCCATGTAGTCTTTCCTCTTCATGTCAGTCAAGAAGGCATTACGAGTACACTCTCCTATATATATATGTGTGTGTGTGTGTGTCTAAAGAGAGAGAGAGAAAGAGACAGAGGGAAAGAGAGAAAGTGAGAGAGAAAGAGAGAGAGAAAGGTTTCATTGAATAATTTGGACAAGTTTTTCTACTTATTTTCAATTGGATCCTTTCATATTCACGGACAAGATCTTTGGTGTCATTATTAAAGAAAGATAATTACCGTGTTGATACATATTATAATATTCCGAGTACTTTCGACATTAGCACAATGTCATGATCAGGATGTTGTTTTTTCAAAAACACACACACACACACACACACATACAAATATATATATATATATATATATATATATATATATATATATATATATATATATAGCAATAAGTTTTATTAAATTCAAGTGTGCCTATGTAATTTTTTATTGTGTCATCCACTTTCCGAATATCGGGATTGAAATTGTGGATAAACTGTCCGAAGTTCGTGTTTTCTTTTGTTTTGTTCAAGTACTTTCACCCGTCTCGGTCATTATCAAGAACCATTTGTTGTCAGTGTCGTAGGCAAGATTCCGTTAGCTACAACCTGGCATTTTCACAGAAATTAAATTTTGAATCCGTTCAATATGACTTCATGTGCAACGATTAATGTGAGCGAGACCAGACCAGAAAAGAATGTATCAAATTTTGTATGAATAATAATAATAATAATAAAAATCCCCGGTTGCAGACATAGAACCTGTAACAGTTTTATGAGACTTTACAGACAGAACAATCTGAGCTAATCATCCAGACATCGTGATCCAAGAGCAAAAAAATCAGAAAGTGTTTTCTTATTGACACGGCAGTTCCTGCAGACTGTAATGTATCTTTGAAGATCTTCAAAAATATATCAAAATGCAAATCTTCAACATCCGGCACATGATGCCATCAATAATTACAGTTGCAATTGGAGCCCTCGGATTGACTGGAAAAGGTTCCGATAGACTCAATGAAGGGATTAAAGTTATATAAAATACATTAAAGAAATGAAAAAAATTGTTTCCATAAGTACAGCTCACACCTTACGACAAGCTTTATATATTTAAAATGTCTGTGATCTTGTTTTATTCTTATTTGTTTTTGTTTTTACAAAAATGATCCGTCGAAAATATCATGAAGACACTTCGGAGTTTAGGCCTTTGACTGTGTTTCAGAAGGAAATGAGTATCCAACATAATGCAAAGGAAATAATAATAATAATAAAACGGTGCCTCCTTATTAATATGGCAGTCCCTGCTGACTGCAATGTATCTTTGAAGATATTCAAAAAGCTGTCAAAATACAAGGACCTTGAAATAGAAATAGAAATCTCTAAAATGTGGCATATGGTAACATCAACAATCCCTGTTGTAGTTGGAGCCCTAGGACTGGTTGGAAAAGATTGCAGTAGACTAATTGAAGGGATTCCTGGAAGTCCATGCCTCAAGGAGATACAAAAAATTGTTCTGACAAGTACAGCCCACACTTTACGAAGGGCTTTATCTATGTAATTTTTTTTTTTTTTTTTGTCAGTGGAAAGTGTCATGATGCCATTTCTAACCTTAGGACCCTGGGCGGGACCCGGAAAGAAATGTGTAAACGCCAGAAATCAAAGAAAATAAAAATAATAATAATTCTTTTTTTTTTTTGGCTGTCCCTGCGGATTGTAATGTCTCTTTGGAAAATGATCCAATAGACTCATCGAAGGAATCCTTCGTAGTCCATGCCTTAAAGAAAATACAAATAATTATCCTCATAAATGCAGCTCATACTTTGCGAAGGGCTTTATCTATGAAAAATGAGTGTGATCTTAGTTTTTTGTTTTTGTTTTTACAAAAATGATCAGTGGGAAATGTCATGATGCTATTTCTGACATTAGGTCTCTGGGCGGGGCCTGGAAATAATGTGCATACAATAGAGATTTTTAAAAATAATAACAGCAACAACAATAATAATAATAATCATTATTATTATTATTGTATGTTATGTTTCCTGCTTTGTATCCTGTAGAGCCGGGTCCAAACTATGGACCTTTGACCCTATAGGAGAATTGTCATTTAATTGATAGCAATTTTCTTAGTATATGGGATGTTCTTAGTAAGGCGATCTTCTGGGAAACTTGTATGTTGATGTTACCTGGGACACTGTTAGTAAAATTGTCCATTCCTTTTTCACGAGGCCCAAAGTTCCGATTATTATTGGTACAGTCTCAGTCTTCATTCCTGCTAATCTCGATATTTGTATTTGGACAATTTCTCGATAATTTTCATGGAAGTGTTTTTCTCAGATGGCACTGCTATGTCAGTAAGCATACACTTCCTGAATCAATATTATTATTATTTTATACACATATTAAACATTTTATACACACTTCAAGACACTGGCTTCAATGGTGGAACATGCTTAACGTGTGCTTTTTCTTTTGTATAGTCTTAGCTTCTAGGATTTGACGTCTTTTCTTGCATTTGTATTGTGGTATTGTTCATTAATATTTGCCTGATGTCGATAGTTTTATTTTGGTTGTTTGTGATGCAATAAACAGCAGCGGAAATATAAGATGAGTATGGCCAAAAGAAAATCACTCCCCTATGTTCACTATTTTTTAGCATATGTAAAAGATGTTTAACAAATAACATCAAATATGACAGCGGTAAGTTATCGGATTCCGGGGAATAAGAAATAAGCTTACACGGTCAAATTTATTATTCTTTCAAACATTATCTCTTTCAAAAGGGCAGAAAGATAAGGTAAGATAGGCTTATTGAAGTGAAAAGAAACAAATTATTCCTTAAGATTTTTTTAAAGACCGTAAATTGTGGCGTACACCTCGACCTGACGTACAAGTAGACCTGACGTACAAGTCGACCTCACAAACATACATTAGGTTACCAGTGGACCACAACTGTGACCCAAAAAGATTTTAAGGCTTGGAAATTTGACCCAAAACGATTTTTTTATATTTGAAAACACGACCCATAAGCATTTTCTCCACTTGAAAATTCGACCTATAAAAATTTTCTGGTCTTGAAAGCTCGACCCATAAAAATTTTCTAGGATGGCAAACGCGACACCAAAATATCTTTTGGTTTGAAAACGCGACTTGTACGCCGCAAATTACGGTAATGCTTTATGAGCGGGTAGTGTAACGGTGAGAGAATCAGCAAGCGTGATCGTCAAGCCATTCGGAATTTCAACAGTGGAAAAGGCAACTGGAAACCACTCCACTTTTTTCAAGAATTCATAGCAAAAAACAAAGAAACAAAAAAAGAATATGTGAACAGCAATGATCGCTTACATCCCACACAGTGTCCTTGAATCCATCTCTTCTCTCCCAAAAGATAAGGGTTAAATATTAGGGTTGAGTGGGCTCATTTGCCTTGAGATGGAAACCAGTCTACGAGAAGGAAAACTCCGAATTCAAAAATGAGCCTGAATAGCGGTGGGTTTCATCGGGTTATCTTGCCTTAGACACACTATTGACGCTATGGCTGCAGTACTGCTCCTGCGACCCTTGTAGATTACGGAACTCATGAAGGTAATACGACTATATTCTGTTCTCGTGTTGCTTATCACGTTGAAATGCCTTTTCTCCAGAATACAGATTGATTGGTTCGAGTGATTTTGTTTAGCGGCATATCAACACCACTATGGGTTGTTTAATGCCGAAATCTAAATAAACAATTTTATGGCTTCAACTAAATATATTTTGAAAATAATTGTATGCCTTCAACTACAGATAAAATGTATTGGTGGTCATTTTGCTTTATAAATGTATCAGTCATTCTACTATATGTATTATTGGTCAATTATTTTATATAAAAATGTATTACTGGTATTTTTACTGTAAAAAGGAATTATTATACTTTCATAGTATTTTGTTTGGGGTTCAATTTTTGTCCATAGCTAAGACCCTAAAAGGTGTTACCATTCCGAGTAAGGGTGCACCTGGGAACAACAGCGATTAAAAGATGGTTCCACGCTTCTCAAAACCCCCAATCTCCCAATCAGAGGTCTTGCTGCCGCATGTAGTTTATCGTCATACCCAGGACTCCAGATTACATAACTACACTAGCCAATCTGTAATTTACTTATTTTTCCAGATTAACAATGCCATTTCGCCTTGAAAATGTGTTATACAAGCTCACATAATTTGCACTCGGATAATATTACTCTTAGATAAAGTACACAACAGACAAGATGATGATGATGGTAATGATCATCAGTCTGAAAACTGAGTGTGATCGTACGGTCGCTGCTTGGGTAAAGTTGACCTGGTGAAGTCCATTCCCTTTCCAGTTCAGTCCACAGCCGATATCCGCCAACTTGAAGTCACACGTTGATCCTGGACACGTAGCTATTGGTTTCATCGGGAGAACCTGTCCGTTGATTTAAGTTTAGAAAGCCCTCCAGCTCGTGATGCCGTGTCATTACCATCTTGGATACACTACCAATAGTTCAGTTCTATGTTCAGATTTATCCATCAGCTGGTCGAAACTCGTACTACTTAAGGCCTTTTAGTTGGTGAGAGCCTCTGACACCTAACTTCCTATGTAGGGGTTCCAAGGCTATCAACAATGGAAAGTTCAACCGATAGGCAAAATGACCAACAAATAATTGTTGGCGAAGGTCACCAACTCAGTTAAAACTCACAGTTGTGCAAATAAGGAAAAGTATGTGAAAAAATGTTAAGAATCACCGATAAAATGGTGATTTTTCTCTCTATATATGATCAAACTGATCAATTTCTTTTTGTCTGCAAAGTTAATATTATTGGACGTATAAATTCATTGTCTCGCTGTGAGAAATTGCACGTTCCTCAGTCGTGTACGCCTCCAGGTTTGCTGCACATATATGACAGGGAAAACGATAAAATATGGGGAATGCGTATTCAAGAAGGGTGGCGAGAATGTGTTAGAAAATTTATTTGGGCCCATTTGGCCCAAATAGTTCCTTCCTGGATAACAGCCAAATATAATTCGTTTCTGGCCAATGGCACTTTTGGAAAATCGCCAAAATCAACTTCCGGTTTCTCTTGCAGACTTCAGATAAAGACTTTTTTCGCCATTTTTTACTTTATTGGATTTTTTAGCAAATTGGATTTCAAATTTCCTTGCATTTATATTTTACACTGAAATATTTGACACAAAGTCAAATGAATAGAAATGAAATAGGAAGATTGTATTGCTTCAAGTTCTTGATTTTTAACTGAACTTAGAAACCAGCCATAAGAGCCAGTGAAAACTGCACAACTATCTTAACAACATATATTAATAAATAGGGCGCAGACATAGGCAGGGATTTACGAGAGGTCGGTGGTTGCCCATGCAGTAAGTCACCCCTCTCTCCTCTCTCTTCTCTCTCTGACTATATATATATCCGATGTTGTCCAAAGGAAGTATATATATATATATATATATATATATATATATATGTGTGTGTGTGTGTGTGTGTGTGTGTGTGTGTGTGTGTGTGTGTGTGTGTGTGTCCTCGATGATATGTGTATATACAGTTGTTTATCATTGGGTTTTCTGTATGGTCTATATGTACCTTTTCTTAGGTTGAAGGTGACATCTAGAAAATCTACTTCAATTAAGTTAGTTTTTATGTCTATGTTGAATCCCATATAATATATATACACCTATTAGTTCGCAGGTCATGCACCATCAGAGCATCCCATTGTAGTGTCAAAGATCTCTTCTTTCTTTATCCATGCGTGTTCATTGACGAATAGTGGTTATATATATATATGTGTGTGTGTGTGTGTGTGTGTGTGTGTGTGTGTGTGTGTGTGTGTGTGTGTGTGTGAACATAAATAAATATATATATTATTATTATTATTATTATTAATATTATTATTATTATTTATATATTATATACTTGGTACTTATTAGAAAGCGCTAAATATTAGAAATAAAGCTAACAAACTTACAACAATCCAACCAAATATATATATATATATATATACATATATATATATATAGTTGAGTAATGAAAGGATTGGTAATCCGTTTGGATAATCCCAAGGAGGATGTAATCAAGAAAGCTCAATGTCAAATCAGAGCAATTATTATTTCAATTTAAATAGAAAACAGACAAACTTAAGGGTCCATTTGTTATAATTTATTTCCCCAGGTGTATGATTTTTACCTGAATATGTTTTAAATTTACATATAGTTCTTACCATATATATATATATATATATATATATAACGAGACGGTGCTGAAAAGATTAAAACTCTAAAAAGAAATTCTGTTATTTGGTCATACATTAGAATGTGGGTCAGGACGAGAACGTTTTAGCATCTTTTCGGTGTGATTATGAGACTTGGTGTCCTGGCGTTGCTACTAGATCCTGGTTACATTAACACGATATAAACCTTTATACGTTATTCCCTTCGATGGTACTTACAAATCATGTTCAATAATGGTGAAAAAGTCTGATCTGATTAACTAAGCTATGTTTATACACACTCAGTAAGATATTCGTGAAGTCAGAAATTATATCAAAGCGTCTTTAACATGTTTGTCAACTAATTTCTTCAGCGGCCATTCGGTGGTTGTATAACCAGTCGAGTTAGGGGAGGTATTTGCTAGGAGGAAATGTCTGTGGTTACTTTGGATTCCAGCCAATCAAATACTTCGGAAAGGATAGACGGAAGTCGGAAGAGACAAAGAGGTAAAACCCAACCAGAACTTGTTGCATCATTTATGGTAATTGTCGAGACATGATCACGTGAAACTTTTAGAGGTACGAATGAGCGCATTCTTTACAAAACATGTACGCGTATTTTCCCATGCGGATAAATAAAGTATATATATATATATATATATATATATATATATATATATATATATATATATATATATATATATATATAATTATAAAAAACTTAATGGAGAGAATTAGATCAGGAAACAGCTGTATTAAAAAGTGCTCAAGACAAAGAAAATAAAAATAAAAAAAATTAATGTGCAGAGCTTTTAAATTTCAAAAATTAGGAGATCAGCCAGTCACGCGCTACCAAGGTTTCAATCTTTAGGTTTCCTCAGGAGATATAGGCCAAATCCTATAGTGTGATTGGCTGATCTCCTAATTTTTAAAAATATATATATATATATATATATAATTATAAATATACATATTATCCCTCACCGATTATACGACTCAGACTTTCATCATTTGAAACTCCAAGTCGTGCCATTGTTGAGGGATAATTGGTATATTTATTAATATATACTTAATAGCTATGTTGTATTACATCGAGCACTGTTTTATTTACACCAGAACTATATGTGCAATATATATATATATATATATATATATATATATATTATTAAGCAAAATGCCCTCAAATAGCATTTCTAGATATCCTTATAGAATTTCTTTGTCATAATCTAATTTCTCTTTTGTCAAAAAATATTGCTACTTGTAACTCTTGCTTTCTTAACTAATAAAAGCTAAGATACAAGATCTGTTATAAAATTTCAGTTAATAACCCCAACTTAAGTAATATTCTATAAAGGATTATGCAATATCAAAGAAACAAAAATCTATAATGTGTTTCCAAATTTTCCTGTCGACAAAATCTTTACTCGTTCGGCATCCGTCGTTTCACTGACGATAAGATCATCAAACTTCAAATCTAAATTCTTTGTCCTTTTAAAATATGACATTAATGAGAAAATATATTCAGCTTAAATACAGAAAGCGTCATAGAAATTACTTGAAAGGGCCGGCTTATGCTTTTTTTCCTGTTAATCAGGGTTTGTTGTCAGAATGGGAAATTAAACCTTGTGGCACAGATCTCACAGATCGATTTCAATTTGTGTGTGCTTATCTAAATTTGCATGCGGGCAGATATATTTTAATTCAATGAGATACCTGAAAATATTTCTAGAAAAAAAACATTTTTAAATAATTGTATTTAAATAATTGTATTTATTACTGAATAATTTCCGAAAAATTAAAAAAATGAATAATTATCAGATGTTTGAGCGAAATTGCCGTATTTTTTCTTTTTTCTTCTTTTTTTTTTTTGTCTCCAACTTTATTGTTCAACACAGGGTAGGGGATGTCCTGACTGAGTGGAGGGGAACATATTTTTACAATTTCTCATTTCAAACTTAGCCAAATTGTATGTGTATATGTGTGCATGTGCTTGAGTATTCGTTAAATGGGATACGTACATGTAAGTCATTTATATACAACGCCCATACATACACATATACATTACATACATACATGTAAAGTCAAACGTAAACAGGCTTGTATTGACAGAGAATCAGCTCTGTTTTTTATAATATAGATTTAAGTAAGATCATTAACAATAAAAAATTGCCGAAGATGATAAGCACAATAACACCATTCCTTTTATTGTAATCAGATAAAAACGAGAAACAAGTGAAGTTCACAAATAGTCATAAACATTTGCAATTCTTCATCTCTTTCCAAACGTTTAAATCTCTAAACTTAACAATCGCCAATAACATAACATTAAAATCAAATCCTCTTTGTTTACAAATTCACTTACCCCATTGGAAATTGTAAGTCTTATTTCGGATATAAAACCACGACACTTACTCATAGACTCACTTGTCATAATTCCGACAAAAATGCTTCCCATCTATGGTCTTCTTAAATAGCTAACAAAACATTGAAGAAATATTGGGTGTCTATCAATATTTCTAGCCTGTTACATCTTGAAATTGGGAAGTGAATACACAAGATTAAAGATAAAAACATGCTAGAAAATTTTACAAACACATCTAATACAAGCAGGTGATGAAAAATGTTCTACCCAACAAAGAATAGTTTAAAGAAAAATTCTTATGTTTGGTCATTTGGTCAGATTTTGGGAAGTTGCACAGACCAAGAAATTTTTAGGGCCCAAAAGTCTATTTCATATAAATACATATGATAAAAAAGAACTAAAATAAAAATGATTTTTGTTGGCGGATTGTAATTTTAAAATCTGGACGTTGACCGGTAACCCTGCTAGATTTTCTGACGCAATTTGGCGAGGCGTACGATGTCTATTTGAATGGATGCAGTGTGCGTGCGTGCATTTTTCTGATTGCAGCGATGTACTGAACGTTTCCACCCATCCAAACTCACATCAAAAACGAGTTTCTCGCAATTCCTCAGAAAGAAGAAATCGATTATCCACAATCAATCAATTGGACGGTGAGGGCATGTGCCTCCGACGTCACCCTCTACACCCAACCCATCACCTGTAATCACGTGATCCAATTTTTTCCTTTCTTTCTTTCTTTCTTTCTCGAATACGGTCGATCCATGTCATTTTCCTTGTTCCCATCCGCTACGAAGGTGCGAGTAGTGTAATGGATAGCGATCCGGATTGAGCAATCATAGAGCCGAGTTCGAATTCCCGACGGGTTTATTAAATACACTTACGCGCAAATACCCTTGGGAAAGGGATAAACCCTTCTCCTACCCGCCATCTATTGGTTAAATAGTAGGATTGTATCTAGAAAAAGATCATGGCTATTCGCCAAAAAATAATTATTCTTTTAATCCAAAATATGTGTCGGCTTTAAATAACCCATAAAAGGTTAATAAGCCGTAAAAAAAACAAATCAAAACAATCCACATCCATTTCTCACTTTTTTCCTTCACTTTGATGGCTAAGGCCTTTCAGTGGTTGGTGTTCAAGTCTTGCTGATGACCATTACTGATATCCAACAGTTTGCAGAGCGTTTATAACGAACGGAGCAGTCGTAGAACTTTCCACCCTTCTCAAGAACATTCCAAAGATGAATATCATTCACAAAATATAAAGCTAGATTATAATTACGGTCATTTACTTTCTTTATTTACAAATGCGAACAATTTTTTTTAAAAGTGACAAAAAATTCCAATTCTTTTTTCTGTGCCTCTGAGGAGTTACTGGGTGTGGAAGAATTAGAAAACAGAAACATTACTAAGGAGCGAGTACAGAAGAAGAGTAATCAGGAGAAGGCAGAGATTGACATTGCTCTTGTACGAACAAGTATATATATATATATATATATATATATATATATATATATATGACTGGAAGTCCTACGTGACCGAGCGGTTAGGCACGTCAGATCCAATGACGGTTCCCTATAGTGTATGCAGGTTTGAATCCTGCCGGAGCACCCATATTTTTCAGACAAAATGTCTCCAATATTCAGGGCACTAGATGTAGATGGATTAAAAAAAAAAAAACCTGTTTAATTTAAAAAAAAACAAAAAAAACATAACTTCTACTCTTTACCAGATTAACATTTAAACAAAATAAATTAAAAATAAAAATATATCAGACTTAATTTCCTCTCTCTCTCAACTCCGGAGTTTTGTAGAGGTTTTTGTAATTGTTCAGTCCAATAGTCAGTTAAACCTTCCGAAAAGTATACTGGACAATTTCGAAATTCTTCTGCTCTTGGCTGCTGCACATGTACGAAGTTTACAAAATCATTATAACTGTCATGCCTAAGATTTTGACGTAGGGATGTGTAGGTAGTTAATTAATGACGCATTTTTTTAATCGATTTTATCAGCAAGGCAGTAAAGCCACTAGGACTCAAAAAGTTACTGGATATGGAAGAATTAGAAAACAGAAACTATACAAAGGGGCAAGAACAACAGAAGAGTAATCAGGAAGACAGTAGATAGTGATTAACATCGCCTTTAAACTTTTGAAAATTAAATTTGGCTGGAAAGCATGGAGCCGGAAAGGAGTTCCACCCGCGAGAAGAGCGATAAAAGAAACTGTTAACATAGAACTTACGGTGCATCTAGCCACAGCTCAACTGTATATCGATAAGACCTCATCACCAGTCTAGTACTGCGCTTAAGTCCATAAAGTCTATGTCCTATAGTGAAGATTTCATCCGAATAACCACTATGAAAGAATTTATATAAAAGGCAAAAGGAGGCAACCTTACTGCAGCGGGAAAATGACTGAAGCCGAGACGCAACATCAGGTCAAATGACAATGCTGATTTCTCCTTGGATCATATGAAAATAAGATGAGAAAACATATTTAAAACTAGCAGCATGGCCCGGTGTTGCCCGTGCTTGATTCAAAAATCGTACGACTCATACAGCAATCGCTATCACTTGACTTGAAATATTTTTGCCCTTCCTTAAACACACATCCTGCTTTTTATAGATAGAGATAATTTGAACAATTATCAGGATAAAATGTATTTGATTAACTAACGCTATAGTCACCACAAAAAATCCCCTAAGATTGTAACCGTCAAATTAAATGTCCAATGTATTACTTGTAATAAATTGCAAAAAAAAATCTACGAGTAGACTGAGAGAGGGAAATGCCACGACTGCGAAGGTAAAATAAATTTTGAAATTACGCGGTAAAACCAACAGGGAGGGGCTGACGAGCAGAGCAACACTACGTGTGCTTATGAGATGACAAATAGCTAGTCGTGCGCAGTATTATATCGTTCAGTCTGCTTTGTCTTTTACCAGAGATTGTCTCACAGCAATCAGCAGAAGACATTCTGATTACCATCTGAGATCTTGAGACTATTGATATTAAATTTGGGCAGCGTTCCCTTTCTCCGGGAGTTTTTTGATCTGACAACATCAATAGAAATGTCAGGTTAATATTTTGCTTTTATAGCATTTCACGGTGTTGGACCTGCCTCGAGGTCAAACGTGTATATACACACAAACTCAGATACATACCAAAAGGAATTTTAGAAGAAGATTGATTGATTTGTTTTTTTGTTTTTGTTTTATTTTTTTACGGCT